GCACCTTAGGAAATGTATAGAGAACAGTATGGAGAATATGTGAACTGATATAATGGGTTGTAAAGCGTTAAATACTCATGTAGAGTTCACCCGCTGAAATAAATAATCACAGCGTGCGTAGTTATTGAGAGATGGACGAGGAATGTGACCCAAATCAAAAACTCCTTACCGTACTGTCCTCGCACAATCTCATGTTGTGCACTTGTCCTGTCAGCTCTGGGAAGTTTTCCAGTGCCCTCCACATGTAGCCTGTTCCAAAAACCTCAAACCGAGATCTCAATAAGTAGGTGATGAAACCCTGATACACAAAAAAAAAAAAAAGAAAAAAAATAGTAACCACCAATTGAACTGAGTCATCAGAAATTTCAGCCATACTCCCCACCATATCACTACAGTAAATAGGTGATTGATTGATTATTTAGAGCTATTTGGGAGGAAGTATAAATCAGCTCTTTGGGAGTTAAGAAGGCTCATACGCCCAATCATTTTTCAACAATTTGACATCAATATTTTGACCTACAATATATCACATACTATAGATTTGATTGCGCGCGATTGCTCTTAAAAGTGTCAGGTGACCGGATATGCACCAGACTTGTCTTGCAAAATGGCGCGAGTTTTCTTGACCAATCGCACAGTGGAAGAAGACGGGAGGGGAGGGGAGAGGAGGGGAGGGGAGGGGGAAGAGAAACTAACCAATTGCTGAGGACCCTCCAAATCAAGTGAAATACCTTTGACACTCTACAAAACCGTAACGTAGTGAGATGGTCTGAGTGTGGTTAGTCCTCAGGAGAACCTCTATCCTGACTAGCGTTTCTTCAAACCGGGTGGAAGTCATCATCGCATCTTGCGCCATCTCGGATAATGCCTTGCTTTCACTTTTTCGAAACGCCAGTCTTGGTCGGTCTCACAGAGGTAGGCATAGACTTTGTGGGACTACCCCAGCAGGGTGGCGAAACCCTCTACCTAGAACGATCATATCGCCACATCAACTCTTACTTTCTAGTCTATTCGGCTAAATAAAATTTACTGAACAGAACACACCTCTTCGTCTGTTATGAGAGAACGGCACTTAGTCTTAAAGACGTGGGCCAGTGCAGCTGCGACCGCTTCAACTGCTCCAAGTTTCTCCATAAGTGCTTGAGCAGAATCTCGGTACTTCTCCACCATATCAGGAGAAATTTCGTCAAAGAGCCTGGCGAAGAGAATGCCGCATCACCCTCGTCATCATAATTTATGAAAACGTACAAAAAAAAAAAAAAGAGTACTAACCTCAGTTAGATAAACAGAAGTGGGAAAAAGAGGCGGTGGTCTAAGAGAAGGAAACAGGTAACCGAAATGCCTGGGTTCTGGCACTTACTAGGTACAAGGTGTTGTGTTCTTGGGCAATACACTTCTCTTTTGGGACTATTCACCATCTATTTCCGAGGAGGGTGGGGTGGGAGGAAGGTTGGGGGAGGGGTTGGGGGGTGTCAGAGGAGTTTGATTGTGTCACAATAAAATTTACCTGCTCCCCCCGTTAATCTCTGATGTATCATAATGATCCCCCTCATTGGCAATCCATTTTTTTAAGCTCCCCCCCCCCACTTTAATACCCAAAGCACTCCAAATGATAGACAATGACTTCTCCCTTTGAGTTCCTCTCTACTCTATCACGAGTTTTAATTGATACCAAAGAAGACCTGACGAGTTGAGGGAACGTTCAAAGGAAAGGAAGAATAGGTGGGTAGGTAGGTTAAGTTTTGGATTACAACCCCGTCCGAGAGAAATAGCTATAACCTATGTAGTACTCTTTCTCCCTATGTTTTATGGAAACCGAGGCAAGCACTGACGGATATCAAATCCATTTGTTCTCTGGGGTGTCCAGAAGATTCAACATAGAAGTGTATATTTTTACCCTTCTGCAACAGAAGAAGTATCATGTTCACTTTCACCGTGAATTCCATCCCTTCCAGTTCTTTCTGAATGATGGAGGTACATGCTGGCGATTTGCGCAAGTGCCGCTGCTACTGCTTCAACTGCTCCAAGTTTCTCCACCAGCGTTTGAGCTGAATCTCGGAACTTCTCCACCATATCAGGAGGAGTTTCCTCAATAAACCTGGAAAAAAGAATGCCGCGCCCTTCTCATTAACATTCCTGAAGACGTAGGAAGAAAAAGCACTAATCTCAGTTGGATAAAATGTTAGTATGAAAAAGGGACGGTGGTCTAAGGGAAGGCAACCTGCAACCAAAATATCTGGGTTCTGGCACTTACCAGGTACACGGTGTTGTGTTCTTAGGAAACACTTTTCTTTGGGGACCAGTCATCATCTATTACCGAGTGGGGGAGGGTCGGGAAGGATCAAGGGGAAGGGTCGTGTCACAACAAAATTTACCTGATCCCCCGTAAAGCTCTGTTGTTTTTTATCATCCGCCTTCACTGCCAGTCAATTTTCTTGGACCCCCCCCTCCCCCCAATACTCAAAGCCCTCCAGACGATAGATAATAACTACTTCCTTTGAGTGTACCTCCCTCCTCCAACGAGAGTATTGATTGATACCAAGACGAATTGTGGAGACGTAAAAAGGGAATGGGGGATGGGTAGCTTATGCTTTGGATTACAATCCCGTCCAGGAGAAACAGCTATAGCCTTTGTGATACCCTTTTTATCTCCTTGTTCTATGGAAACCTAGGCAAGCGCTGACGGAAATCACAGCCTTTCGTACTCTGGGATCTCCAGAAGATTCAACAGGGAAGTGTATATTCCTACCTTTTTGCATCAGAAGCAGAAGCCTTAACGACTTCGTCTGCTGATGGCGGTTTGATATGCTTGAACTTTATTCCCTTAAAAACCGAATAGATCGACCAATCAATAAATAAGTGTACAAACAAATATGGAAATGACTAACTGAAGTCAGCAGGTACTAGGTTTGATTTAAGTAAAGTATTAGAATTATGTGCCGTATTTCCTCGAATGAGCACACAACACTGATTTCAAATTTCGGCCAAGAGGCGGAGCGCTTACTTGAAGGAGGGCGCTTACTCGAGAAAAGTGCATATTGAGTTTATCTTTCAACGATCTGTAATTTTGTTTTGGCTAAATCTTAAATAGAATAACCAACACTAAAACAGTTCAGTTACAGTCTGAACAGATGCGCAGCAACATGGAATTTATTTATTTAATCGTCAAGAAATTCATGAATCTACTCACAGTACTTTTCTCCACTGCACGCAACTTTGCCAGTTCCCCTTCTTGGTGAATGACAATGCTCACTCCCTTACGGCCGGCTCTTCCAGTTCTTCCTGAACGATGGATGTACATGTCGAGATCCTGAAAGGATATCAATTTAGTAATTCTCCTTTCTGTCTACAATACAATTCTAATGAGGTTAATTGGGAGAATTTGGCATCGGATCAGCCTGTAATCCTCAAATTGACATTTTTCTTGGTTCTCACCACTTGTTTTCTCGATATCGTGTGAATAATGTAAGGAGAAATTCTGTCTTGGTCACTCGGGGAGTGCCAGGGTTCACCCTTCAACTTCTACCTGATCGGTTAAAGTATTCTCATAACCCTTTTGTTGGATAATGTATGGATGTTACAAGGAGAAGTTACATGTTCATCAACGCTGGGAGATAAAGGGTTAAGACGCAATAGGCCATTTCCGAATTACGTTTGGCCTCTTTTTCAAAACGAGGCCTGGTGCTCAACCATACGTATGAAAATGAGTTTACTTTGCATGTGAATGAAAACTTATTACCATACGAAAGGATGAGCACAAGGACTCGCTTTGAAAACGAGGCTTTAAGGCAATTCGAAAATGGGCTATTTCTTAGTAATCATGGAAGCTTTAAAGTTTAGAAGGCAAAGCGTAGAAGCTTTTTATTCGAAATGAAACAGCATGAAACGACGGCCGGAAAAAAAAAAACATATGGTGCATCACTGTATCTCTCAATTTATAAGTGCATCACGCTTGATGAATGTGTCTAGCCGTAAATTTAAAGCTGTCTTTGTCTCCAAAGTGGCTAAGTACAAGCTTGTTATCTCCAAATTACGTTTTATCTCCTTCTAATTACTGAATTGCGATTTCGAATTGATGCATTTTGGCCATCGAGATGCTACGAAGGAAAATCGAAGGGTGAGCTTATTGGATGGCAGTTAGGTGCCTGGACTAGACTGAAGGATTCAGAGAATAGTGCAGTTGATGTCCTTTTATCTCACCTGTGGTGGTTGTGCTAGTACAACTAGGTCCACTTCAGGAATATCCAAACCTCTTGCTGCAACATCTGTGGCCACAAGACACCGTCTCTTTCCCTCACGAAAGTTCTAACAATAAACAGTACATTGGAAAAGATGAGTCCTTCAGCAAGATGTATAAACAATTTTTAATCAAGAATCCTCACTTATAAAGGACTGTATTGCTTTGCTTCGCACACAAAAATAACACACCCTCAAAAAGAGCAACAATGAGATGTAAATTTTACCGGAAACGCTTAAACTCGCAACACCATTGGGCACGACGAGTAACATACCCTTAGGGCCCTCTCCCGCTGTGCTTGACTAATATCACCATGGAGAATTTCTGAATCCTAAATTGATGAAAAATAGTAGGATAATAAATTTTTTACCATTACCATCATTAAACTTTTGTGAAATGACACAGTATCAATAAGGTTAAAAATGAATTAGCGTAGGGGGCTCTCCTGGTCAGCAGCCATTGTAACATGTGCATGTGAATGTGGTAACTTGGTTTCATCTGGCGCTGTTGAGTTGTCAAGCAGCTTCATTGACGTGTGCTTGCTTAAGGCGATCTTTTACAGCAATAGGGCAGCATTCTATTGTGGGGTCCGCTGGCCGCGCCAGTTTCCCGCGCAAAATGTCAAAAGAAAACAAAAGAAACAACCGCTGTCTCGCAAAATAAGCGAATGAAAATTGAAACGTTCGTAGAAATCTATAAAGGGAAATAAAAGTGGGGAAAAGGAAAACTCGACACTTTTCGAACACAATTAAGAGTAATACAAGTACGGGTACCTTGTTGATTTACCATTTTGTTTTGAGCTTTAACAAAAAAAGAAAAAGGTATACTCTTCTTAAACACCGTGACTTCCTGGGCTGTGCAGTTGGGACAACTTGGTTACGACAGCCCAAAAGCAAGCCACTTAGTCATGACACCGTTCACACATGCGCAAACGTTTGATCACTGTGTTCAGCATGGGAAGCCGTGAATCTGAATTTCAATTCAGATTAACGGCTTAAAATGCTTAAAAACATCAATTTTAGAGAATTTCACCCACAAACCAAAATTAAACTCTAGAATCTCGAGAATTTGACACCTGTGAGCCTGCCTAGAGCTATGACATACATGCTGGAGGAGAGAATGAAATCCCAGCCGATCTGCTGCCCTCTTTGTTTCGGTGAAGATAAGCGCTCTGCTGTGGGCACCGCAATACACCTGTGATGAAGAGGAACAGCAGATGTGAAAGAGTCAAGGAGCGTCTGTAAAATAACACACCAGTGGTGAAGAGGAACAACGAGAACTATCAGAGGCGAAGAACATCTGTAAAATAACCGGGAGACTACGAGAACCCTGATTGGTTAAAATCCTATCAGTTAATGCTCCAATAATCCCATTAAAACTTGATACCTTTTAAGATTTACTATACAAACCATTATTTGTCCGCGGAAATTAGAAACAATTAGCTATAGGAGATATTTAACTGGTAGAAAAACAGCAGTCAATCAAATATTTTCGTTCTAGCGAACACGGCTGAAAGCAGAGAGAAAGTTGTTCTATTCTGTGGGTTTTACTAACGTTCGCTGTAAAAATCATGCCTAACCATTTTATCCTGAGGATGACCAGCAAGGAATTTCACCTTTCAGCAATACTGCTGAATGATTCACTAAGATCATGAGAGAAAAGGAAAGGATCATCTACCTGAGAAGCTTTGATCGAAAAACGAATTCTTCTGGTCAGTAATAAAGAAAATGTATTGACAAGCGTACGGAGAATATGGACATTGATGACGAGGGTGCAATTTTACAGTTGTGTACTTAGTTGCGATGCCTTTGATTTGGAGTGAGGCTGAAGGTGATCTTGTTGTGATAGAGACCAGTATCTAGTTAGGGTGATAACAAACTAGTTTGTATTAATTTTGAAAAGCAGCAACGTTTGTATCACAACAAGGTCACCCTTAGCCTCACTCCTGTTCAAAGGCTTGGCCGCCAAACATGCATGCAACTTTAGAATGGACTATTCTCTGTGGCATTTACAAACCTGGACAACGTCACTTATTACGTAGGCCAACCTTCTCTTGTTAGCCTCGATGGCCAAGTGCTGGAAAAGATGTCAAAAACGAACATTTATTTATCTATTTATTTGTTTAAGCAGGTTGATTAATTGGCAGCTTAGCTGATGTGGACCTGCTGTATTAACCTACCCATCCCACCCCAGGGGAGGACATCCATCACA